GACGACAATGTTTGTTCTTGGAATGATTTGTGTGTTCATTGGCATTTCATTGCTGGCACCTGATGAGCCAAAAGGTTTTGTAATTATAATGGTTAATGTTTTTTCTTAGATGCTGGTGGAAAATATGTAGCTTATTCTGAAAATTTTCAGGTCATGAAACTAAAGATAGTTCTTTGGATACCATGGCGCCTTCTGGTATTTCATCAGAGATGAACAGGTACAATGCATGCTCTAACGAGAATTTTGAACCTATGGAAACTTTGAAGTTTGAAGCCCTAGCCCCCCACACACCCCCCCAAAAAAAAAAAAAGTATGATAGAGATTTCTGGGAGGCCATACTGAATGAATCAATCCCTAGCACATGGTTATGCTATGAAGTTGTTTCTGTGGCATAAATGTTACGTCTGTCGAGGCTACATTCAGAAGAAACTTTTTAAACATTACATTGGTCGATGTTTGGTATAATATAACTAAAGTTCATACCCTGTTGATCTGTTGCAGACTGGTGGTCTCATCCGAAGAAGCACAGAACAAAGACACTAGAACACACATAAAAGGATTGTTATTAAAGGCGACAGATGTGTTAGTGAAGGCAAAGGTATATACTCATAATTTGGTCTATTATTCTTGTGTAATGGCCTTGTGAATTGAGATCTGAAATGTGACTGCAGAATGCATGTGCATTGTCTCTGGGTTTTGGGGAGGATACCATTCATGCATCTTCCGTTCTTGTGATGCCGATGATGTCATCCAAGTTGACTGGATTTAGAGGGAATGGGCTTGAGCGGTCTAAGATCTTTTCCATGAGGAATTCTGGTTGGGGAAAGATCCCCCTGGATGAAGATGTGAGCAAAATACTCGAAACTAGTCCAATTCTCCCAGAGAGCCCCTGATAGTGGTAGCTATATATACAGCCTGCAAGCTCTTAACCACGCCTTTTTTTTTTTGACTTATTCTTTACCAAGTGATTGCTGGCCATGATATACAGAACTATCAGCATTCAGTTATTAGATATGTTAGGGAAATGATGTAATCTCCCACAAAAGATGAAAAAAGAATAGTGTAAATCGTTGCTTGCATAAAAGGAAAAATTTAAGCAAAAAATATTGATCAGAATTTGCCAATTTGGAGGATGAAGTTTGATGGTTGACAAAAGAACTTGCCCAAAACAATTTATATAATTATTAACTAAGAATTTTAAAGCCAAAAATTTATGAACATATTTTGGGGGTTCATGAAGAGAATCCTAAAATTATCATTTTCTAATTTAAGCATTTAAGAGTTAGAAATGACAAAGAAAGAAGTGGTATTTAATATGATGTTTTACAAATATAGTTAAATGAGTAAAATGTTTTTATATTAGATTTGTAAAGAGAAATTATCAAATTTGTTATTGTCAAAACATTTATTATTATTTGTTATTTAGCATTTATTATTATTAGTTCATAATTTGTTAATAAATAATTTGTTATTTTCTGTATATTTTTTGTCATTTACTATTTACAATTTGTTAATAAATTGTTTGATATAAGGATATTTTAATCATTGAACTATATTTGTAAAATATCAAATCAGACATCTTGGGGTTTTAAAGTGTTAGGTGACTTATTTGAAATATTATGGGCTTATTTGGTTTCCTGTTTTAAAAACAATTTTTTGTTTTTAAAAACAAAAACCAAAAAACTTGTTTAGTAATTTGTTTTTAGTTAATTATTTTAAAAAACAAAAAATAGTAATATGTTTTTAAAAACCAAAAAACCAAAACAACTTTTAAATGTTTTCTTGTTTTGTTTTGTGTTTTTTATTTTTTGTTTTGAAAAGTTTTAAAAAATATTCTTCTCTTGTCACCTATTATCCACCACTTATTATTAGTAATGATAACTATCACCTACTGAGTATGGTTTTCTATAAATTTTTTTAAAACATGATTTTTTTTAAATTATTATCCAAACAAATTCTTTTGTTTTTTGTTTTCTAAACTTGTTCTAAAAAAAAATTTTATAAGAACAAAAAAAAAAAAAGAAACAAAAACAAACAGGTCCTATATTTTTCAGTTTTTTTATTTGTCATTTTTTCTTTGAAGGGAGAATATTGGATTTTCTAGACCACCTCTGTATTTCTTCTTCATTAAACGAGGTTTTAAACTCCGCTGTCCCCTGCATGCAAGAAAAAGCCTCTTTTTATCGTCTCTGCTTCGTACTTCTACACGCTTCGACAGTTCTTTAAAATTTATTTTATATTTTTATATGAATCTGATAGTTATGGAGCATAAGTTGTGAGGTATCGAAGAGTTACTGCAGTTGGCAAAATAAAAGTTATTACGAAGGAATTCATGCGAGGTAAATCAAGGGATTAAACTGCGTCCCACCAAATTTAATTTCCGCTTTCCTTTTTAGGGGGAAAAAACAACTATTCACACTCCGTGCTGCAACCTATAGGAGCTAATCATAATTCATAATCATGAGTTAAAAAGAAATGAACCCATCAGCAATAAGCAGCGAGAGAATACGTCATTATCTAAATTCCAGTCAAGCAAATGGAAAGAATGTTTCCTCCCACATGAAAGGCCAGGTTAACCTTTCTGATTTATTCATTCAATGTAACATTTAAAAACACACATTTAATTTATTTGCAAGTACTCGTAACAGTTTTTTTTTTTTTTTAAAAAAAGCGAGTTATCATTTCTAGGTATCTGCATTATAAAACCTCTTTGCTAAATTACCTACGGTGTTATGGGGCCTCTCTGCGTATTTGGAGTTTATTACTCCCGATCCTTAATATAAGACTTATTTAATTAATTTGATTAGATTAAGAAAGTTAGGTAAATTAGTTAATTATAAAAATTATGACATATTTTTTTTAAAACACCATAATCATCCTCCTTAATATTTTTCCTCTATTTTCTATTTGATTATGGTTGAGAGAATATTCATAGGGATAATTTAGAAAAAATTGATAAATATGATACTCCTCCGATGCTTAATATAAAACCCATTTAACTAATTTGATTAGATTAAAGAAGTTAGGTAAGTTAGTTAATTATAAGAAAAGTGACACTTTTTTTCTAAAACATCATAATCATCTTTCTTAATACCCCTCTCCTTCTTTTACTTGATTATAGTTGAGGGAGTATTCCTAGGGTAATTTAAAAAAAACTAATAAATATGAGAAATGGATCTTATATTTAGGACTAAAATTAACTCAAAAATTAGGTCATATATTAAGGACCGGAGGAATAAATAGGTTTTATATTTAAAATCAAAATCAACTCAACATTTAGGTCCTATATTAAAGACCGGAGGAGTATTTTCGAGCATTACGGAGCCTTAATTCTCAATAATTAATAAGGAATTTGATATTTCGTGACGCGGATTCAAATTCTGAAATGTCTAATCGTATCAAGCGTGAAAGGGAATTTAATAGTTTGATAAGGCTATTGATGGGAGAACATCTGATTACATAAACATGGATCAGCTAATAACGGTTGGGATACAGCTCAAATTAAGCTACAACATTCGTACAGCTCTAACTAGTTGAAGGGGAAGCAGAGTGGAATCCATGTTTTAAGGGCATGAATGCTTGTTTATATCGGAAAACAAAACTCGGCCAATATAATTATTTTATTTAATCATTTAGTTTTAGGGTTTAACCTTCCTTTGTTAGCTAAAAGATACGAGAAATGATCAAGTTCTTTCTGAATTCTTTAAATACTCCTCCGATTCTAAATATAAAATCCTTATACATACTAATATAAAAGCTTTATATTTAAGATCATAGGAGTATAATGTAAAATCAAAATGGCAAAGCTGCTAAACATAAATCAGCAAAAATAACTGAAAAACAAATATTCTGCACGTTGATTGCCCAAGGTGAACCCTAATTTCGACCTGACCCAACTGATAGGAATTTTCGAAAAAATGTTATTTTAGTTAAAGTTTTAAACTTGGGTCGTTGCAAGAACATAATCCTAGAGTAACTTATGAAAATAAGCTTTTTCTAACACACCTCTCGTATGTTTAGTTTAAATTCTCAAAACAATTCTCTCAGGCTCCTAACAACTTTTGTCGTGTTTAGCCTAGTCAATTAAAATCACTTCCTTTTAATCTAAAAAAAACTGAGGCTTAATCTATTAATATATATATATATATATAATTTGCATAGTTTTTCCTTTTGACTTGAATCCAACAAATGTTGTCACAGGATGGATTAGTGCGGATTAAGGAACCGTCACGCCGAGTGTTCCCTTCAGAGTATATTAATGCTTTTGACAGCCCAGCCATGGCAATTCTTGTCCTCTTCATGTGCGCTGTAATCTTCTTCTTCTTCTTCTTTGTGGGGCCGAGTAATCCTAATTAGTTCTTAGCAGTACCAAAACTATTACATTCCATATGAAAAATGCAAGCTTGCTTTCGCACTCTTCATTGTATTTCCAGTTATTAGACTTTCATGATACAGCGTGTTTCAATTTATTTATCTGTTTCTTCTATCATTTCGATCTCTTTCGTTCCAATAGGACATGGCTCAGTTCTAATGTCTGTTCTTGTATTGTTCCGGAGGTTTGTACGATATTTCAGAATGGTTTGCATGGGATTTCCGCTCTAATTCCGGCCAAAAAAAATGCCGCATGACACATCTATCTTCACTATTTTGTATCTGAACTGGAATTAAAGTGAAAAATTGAGACGATAAATATGTTTGATAGCCAAGATACCCAGTTCACTCATACTAATACTGATCACTTAGTGCCCATTTGAACTTTCAGGAGAGCTGCAAAGAAGATATGTGGCAGCTGGTGTGAAAATAAATCAAATGGAAGACAAAGCTTTTAAAGACATAATGGAAGTTCAAAATTTGGGTATTGCTTAGGCGGCATCGCTCAAAAGCATTAACCAAAAGCAGAAGCAAATCATATTCCAAAAGGCGTTGCCCACGACACCTACAATGATGGAACCCCCAAACCCAAAAAGCAAAAACAAAGGGGGGGGGGGGGGAAGATCCCACACAACCTCAAATATCCAAAACATCGGAAGACCATTACATTAAAATGTATTTTATTTGAACGATATGAAATATTGAGTGAATGCTCCAGAGACTATACAAGTATGAACACACAGAGGAAAAATCCATGAAGATACAAGATTTCAGAGTATACACGTCTCAGAAATTCTATATATCCTGTGTATACATGTCTGGGTATTCTAGTAACTGGGTACGGCTCTGCATCCTGAGCTGTTCGTAGAACCTTGTAATGAAATCCTCGGCCTGGTCATCAACCAGACCATTCCCAGGCTCCTCAAGCTCATCAACAGAAGAAAAATTGGATATCCTCACAGAAAATGGCGACAAAAGAGGGCTCCTTCTGTCACCTGCAGCAAAATCTGAAGGATCGAACCTAAGATTGAAGCTGTATTCTGGGGTTTTGGGCATCAAAACCGTGGCCTTAGGTGGCTCTAGGTCAGGCTCTTCGTCGATGACCTGAGGATGGTTGATGCAAGGGAAGTTGAAATGGTGTTTGCGTTTGTGAAGGTAGAGAAAAGCAGGATTGGGACTGTTACTGCAAGAGAATTCATACTCCTGCATGCCAAATCCACCACGTGTCATGCTCTTGGAATGATGATGATGGTGATGGTGGGATGACATGAGATTGCTCAGAGATTTTCTGAGCAGTTTTCCCTTCTTCATCATCACATTCATGTCCATTATCAGCTTCCTCTTCGATATCAGACCCTTCCTCATCATCAAGAAGCTGATCCTCAACACATTCCAAAGTCTTTTCGCTGCGGTTGCAGAATGCAGCTCCATTTTCACACTCTTGGGAGTTAAACAAATACTAGGATTTACAAAAATGTCTCTGTGCGCGTGTAAATATAAACTCTAGATTCAACAGAACAAGAAAACAGAGAGATGAGTGAAGGTTGGGTTAAAGAAGGTAGAAGGTTTTCTTGTTTCTGCGAGGAATCCCGCAGAAGAAAAGAAAACCCGACGTGAGATATGTAATGACAAGAAGGTGGGTTATATATAGGAGGCAAGCGACGAGCCTCGAGGAATTTCTTGGCCTTTTCTTTCTGAATTTAATTATTTAATCAATGAAGTGCGTAACAAGGCTTATGAAGAAGGAGGGTATTGTAGTGAACAACGGGCCATCAGCAGCCGCTGCACTCTGCATTCTGAAGGGAACGTATTAGATATAATGGGGATCTGCATTTTTTAATGTTGAGAATAGTTGTTGTGGTGTTGAATTCAAATACAGCTAGACACAGAGTGTGATGTTTAAGGATACTAAATTAATTATAATATTAAGAAAGAGGTTGGGGTTATGGTAGTGTTGCTGGTCGGATGAGGCGGTGAAAAAAGAAAAAGGGGATGGAAGGGCTCAATTATGATGTGTGAGAAACAGAGACAATGAGGATAGGCCTTGCGTGTCGTATTCAGTTTCTGAGGAAAATGTTATTATTAGAAAAGGAAGCTTCTGTTCAGTGCGGCCGTTGGAGTGTGTATGGGACAAATAGGCAATGGTATAAAGTAAGTACACAGGATATACAATGTCCCCTTACATCCCCTGCTTTTGGATTAAAGATTGGAAGCTTGTTATATTAATAGATTCTTTAATTTGCCTTTAGATGTGGGAATCTCACAGGAGACTTGATGCCCAATTCAAGGATTGCTTAGCTTCCTTTGCCCTTCCCATGAAAATAACTAGTTGAGGTGCCATTCGTGTCTGTCAAAATGGGATACCAAATGGATCATATTGACCAAAAAGGCAAAAAGTGAATATTCCCTTCAACCAGGTTGAAGGCATGCACACTGTCATAAGGTCTCCTAAGCTTGATTCTGCATAATATGGAGCGCAAATTCTTGAGCAATTGGGATATCGCATCAAAGATTTCACAAGTCACAACCAAGTTAAGTTGAGATCTTTTAGAGTAGCAGCATATGTGTCATGATTAATTCATTTCAATATGTTAAACTTTTGATCTCCTGAGAATGAAGAAAAGATATGGAATGCATGGAAATGAGGTGAGAGCAGAGAAAAAAGGCAAAAAGGGAAGTGAATGATGAGGGGAAGAGGGAGTGAGACAATAATTGGAGTTTGGTGAAAGAAAAGGGGCAAGTGAAGTTGGTTTGAGGAGTGCATTGTTAGGCTTATTGGCACCAAAAGACCTTTTGAACAAAAAGGTTTCCAGCTGTTGAAAGCGAAAGTATCCTCACCGCAATTAATCTCAACTCCAATCTTTTGGAGACTCTCAACCTCATCCAATATGAGGATTTTGAGATCCACCCCTCTTTAACTTTATCAAGAAAATGAGAGATCAGGTCACGAGAAAAGCTATAAGATATGCCGCACCGTGCTCATTATAATGACCCCAATGTCAAAATTCTTTCTATAAGATGTAGAAATCTTTTTCCTTGTTTTGCTAAGTACGGGTATTCTCTTATTGGATACAATCATATTTGAAGTATTATCAAATACTAAATGTGGACACTTCTCTTGGTAGGGATTCAAAGTTTGGTTTACCAGGTTATGAAAGATTTGCCCATTCTGCTAAACCCAACCCCCGTTGATATGTAGAAATTTTTTAATTGCCATTCTATCCTAACTTTCCTTTTCACATGGTTCAATAATGGGCTTCTAGTAAAAAAAAAAAAAAAAAAGCAGCCCATCACATTTCTTGTGTTGACCCTGATTCAGGACAATCATAAGCACAATACTGATGTCCCCATTTGTAATCATAATAAACATTCTTTTTTTAGAACGCATGGGAAAATATAGTATATGTAATTTGCAGCATTTATTATGTATCCAATCTATTATCATCCACTGTTAATGCTTTATTTTATTATTTTAATTCGATAAAATAATTTTCATCTTATTTTCATCTTTTTACTTTTCATTATTAACATTATAAATTATAAATAAATATCAAACCTATTTTAAAAAAGACACTTAAACGGCACGTGGTTGCAATGCGGATACAGCGGGTCGAGGTGGCCCACTTTTAGTTTGTTTTCGGCCCAGTTAATTGCGACAAAAGCTGACCATATTGGTAGCCTTTCATTTCATTTACAATCTCCTGCTTTTTTTATTTTTGTTTTTATCATAACCTCAACGCCATTTTTATTTTTGTTTTTATCGTAACCTCAACGCCTTTAGATTTTGCGCCAGATTAATTGGCCTAATAAATTTCTTTGCCTTGGAAAAAAAGAAGTACCCTTTGGTATAAACTAAGAAATGTTCTTTCGGCCAAAAAAAAAAACTAGGAAATGTTCTACACATTCAATACTTCGGATTAAGTGAAATTTTAATATTTATGACATTCATAATTAATGGTTACCGACGTATGCTTTTATTTTGGATTAGGAATTTTTACTTTTTTAAGGGTTTGGGGAAATATTGTACCACACCATAATATGATACTTTACGAATATTTTTATTTTATCTTTTATATATAAGGCACAACAAGTAGGACTCAGTCTTTTCTTAACAGACATCACATCCAATTAACAAGTTGGGGCAAAAAATTTCGAGGGTTTGAGGGTATTTTGTATCATATTTAAGGGTGCTAATACCTCCTCCTAAAATTCCTAAATATTTTTGCACCTTAATCTTAATAACATCTAAATATAATTTGCATCATATTATTCTATTTAAAATTGATAAATAACATGACTCTATTTTTTAAGGAATTTAAATTTTTGGGTCGGTGCCCTTTTCTTAACTTTTCAACCAAATTTAAACATAAAACAAGTTTCTTTTGGGGAATTTTTTAAACTTAATATTATTATATTACTAATTTTTAAAATTCATTATCTCTCTTGCGGTCATCAAATTTTTGTTAAACACCGAAGTAGCAATTAAAGTAACACTATTTTTAATTAAATTAAATGTAATAATAAATAAAACTTAAACATAATGTAAAAAAATCTTCTTATGATTCTAAATCACACTACAAAATAGGTTTTATATTTAGAAGCGAATGACAGCCATTTATATATTTATTTTGTGGACTGGAAAATATAATTTACTACTCCTCCGGTCTTTAATATAGGACCCAATTATTGAGTTGGTTTTGGTCCTAAATATAAGACCCATTTCTTATATTTATCAATAATCTCTAAATTACCCCTATGGATACTCCCTCAACCATAATCAAGTAGAAGAAGGAGAGAGGGTATTGAGAAAGATGATTATGGTGTTTTAGGAAAAAAATATCATATTTATTACAATTAACTAACTTACCTAACTTTCTTAATCTAATCAAATTAGTTAAATGAATCTTATATTAAGGACCGGAGAAGTATAATTTCAAGTGCTGAGATGAGGATGGGTAGAAAAGGTTTTTTTTTTTGGGGGGGGTTGGTTAAGGAGTTAAGGAACCTTCAGGGAGAGTCTAGAACAAGGAATCTTGCAGGAAAATAATCGCTGTAAACCTGCTCCACCGTCCAATTAAAGTTAAAAAAGTTATGTCCCTATCCAATTTTTACTCTGTCTATAAATTCTCTCATCTATTTATTTAATTTACTGATAGTTCTAAATACAAGTAGCCAAAATAAGTTATTAAATCTGCACTTACATCCTCATATAAACTATAAATAACTTCATGCCTGCTATTTATATTAAGAAATTTTCACCATTTAAACATTACTGGCCTGGACCCACCCGAATTAACCGAGCAGATATAATCACATCTCCTCTTTTATTTTTGGTAGAGTAAGATTCATTGCTTAAATCAGCGTAGTCAGTTCCCGTCTGCAGGAATTAAATTAGGTCGGCAAACCAAAAGTTAAAATTATGTTACATATGTGTACTTGTGTGAACGTTTGAGGTGAGACTTTCGTTCAACGTTGTTGTTCCTTCAATGCTCTCAGACTTTTTGCTACAAACTTTTACAATTTCCTCCCATTAACTAACTATCCGAACTGATCTTTACAGCCTAGGAGTTTATACACATTGAAAGCTGCGTGCTTAGAAGCTCCAAAAAAGTTATATAATAATCAGTTCATCTTAATCAATATGCTGTCAATATCTTCTCAGCACAGGAAGAAGCTGATATCATATAAAAAGAACCCAACATTATATTATATTCCATCTTTATAACGATCGATCATGATTTACTCCTGCGTGCAAGTTTATTTACTAAAGCACCACATAAGAATAAAGCAGAGGAAATCCTAAAGAAGATTACCAAACGCACCAGAAAACTGGATTAATTTGGAGAATTAATTCAACGTTATGTTTGTTTCATATATAGTGCCGAGGCTTTCCACGATATACCTTGTTTATTGTTTATTATTACTTCGAAAATATCCAGAATCAAAGGCTGATTAAATTAATGAACCAAGTTGGTCTTTACAGACAATCCTGCACCACCCAGACCCTTCCCGTGAGATCTCCACAAAGTTGATTAAAAAGGACTGGTGTGGTGCGTCTGCTTTAATTAGGTCAAATGAGAATGTTGAGGGGAGAGGGGAAGATCGATGCATGTGTTTTTCTAGTTACTTTTAGAAAGCACCCGCGTCTCTTCTCTCTTTGATTCTTCATACAAACATATCAAACCCTAGCTACCTAGCTGCCATATTTGAAACTGCGTAAAGCTCTCAAAAGCGTGTGTATGGATGGGAAAAGTTTGCTTATTTTATTACACAAACTACATATGGTAACGCACAGCTTGCCAGCTTCATATTTTGTGCTTGGGATCGAGTTGCGAAACACGTCCACTGCAATTTACGTGTTGCCCTTTGGGTGAAAAATAAAGATTAGGTTTTGGGGAGGGACCAATATTCACATGTGGTTGGGAAACATGCACGCATGCCTATATTATTATACATGCTTTATAAAATGGAGTTGGCCGTTTATAAAGTAGCCCGGTTGCTTTTTTTATATATATATACTCCTCCGATTCTTAATTTGATTAGATTAAGAAAGTTAGGTAAGTTAGTTTATTATAAAAAAAGTGACACATTTTTCCCAAAATACCATAATCATCTTTTTTAATACCTCATTTCCCTCTTCTACTTGATTATGATTGAGGAAGTATCCATAGGGGTAATTTAGAGAAAATTGATAAATATGAGAAATGGATCTTATATTTAGGACCAAAACCAACTCAAGAATTGGGTCCTATATTAAGGATTGGAGGAGTACATAAATATATATAATTTCTTCCTAATTAAAACTCCTTTTACGTGGGGTTTTTGGGGAGAATTACAAAATCATACAGAAGTTCTGCGCACAACACCTTACTTGTACCAGCAGAATCCACTTCTATTAAACTTGCACAGAGCCTGAGTAAAGTTAGTGTATAAAGTTGTATGGATAATGATATAATGTGCAAATAATGTGCAGTTATTTATGTACAAGTTTCATTGTATATATGCATATATATATAGTGATATATTTATTTATTAATTACTGGTGGGCAAGTAATGGAGAAGCGCGCCTTGCAATTCCATTCCCTGAAATATCCTACTATTGTTTGGTACAAGACTCACTAAAAAACAAGCAGCAAGGGGACACTTAGAAGCAGGTAGGATCCAAATGAAAAATGAAAAATGTGGAGATATTATGTAACCTTAGGGGTTAAGTTTTCAACCGAGTCCTAAAATTTTGGTTGTTGCGGCAAGAGTGGCCCAGAATTTCTGAATAGTCTAAGAGAGCAGCAAAAATGAGATTCTTATTTCAAACGAAAGAGAATCTCTAACAGACACATCGACCAAGACACAATGTCATTTGTACCATCTTAGTATGGAGAGAAAGAAGCTGTAATTGTCAAAAGCAGATGGTTATTTTAGTCATTAAGCCTAAAACAATAGGAAACCTCAAGGTCAAGATTTGAACAGCAGTTGTGCTGTGGAACATATAATGGAGTTAGGCCCACCAATTTTTTCTTTCTTCTTTTCACTTCCTCAAAAGCTTCAAAGGTCTTCACTCTTCCCCCACGAAACAGGGCTCAAATTATTGAAGGAGCCCAATGGAAATGGCTAAAGATCTAATAAAATTCGTCTGCCTTTATCAAGAGGCGCCATCTCAATATCTATTTCTGCTTTTGATGAAATCAAATACTCAAATTTTTAATTGAAGAAGAGGCAAATTGCTGTATGACCCCCAAGGCTTCGTACACCACCACCCCATTATTACTCCCAAGGCCAATTTAAAAAGCCCACCTGTCACCTTCACTTTTTTGCTTTTTCGAGCACTCTCTCTACCCCCTTTCCTTAGCCACCAATCTTCCTTCGCTTAGATTATTTCTCGCCCTCCCTATAAAAGCCCATTTGCCCACCCTGTAGTGTTTCATGCCAAATCACTGCTTTACACCAGCAAAGTACAAGCTCAGTACAAACCATCCCTCTTGATATTTCTTAACCTCTCCTTCTTCATCCATCGATCAATCATTCGCACACAAAAGAGTTCCCAGATAAAACTTTTTGACAGCGATCTGCAAATCTAGCCGCAAAATCCCATATTGGTCTGCTTGTTTCCACTTGGGTTACTTCATAAACTGTATTGCAAACTGTGGGTGTGCAGTTTTTACAGGGGTGAACAGATGAAGAACAGAGCACCTGTGTTGTTGAAGCAGATCATAGCTACTCTGAAGTCAATGGCAAAGTCCAAAGCCTTGGCTCTGAAGACGAAGACAAACGCCATCAAGGCGCGACTGATCATATTCTCATTGCTGAGGAATAAGAAGTTTCTGATGAGCTCTATTTCCCACAAAATGCAATCCGTTCTGGGCCATCATTCCCATCCCAAAGAAGACAGCTTTCTGGAGGGTAGAAGAGACCAGAGCAAGGCCATGGCGATCCATGACGACAATGACCACTGCTACGAGGCTATTCCCAGTCCCATGGAGACGAACTTGGTGGAGGGGAGAAGTGAGGATGGGTATGAAAGCTGCTATAGGTACGAGGAGGAAGAGGAGGATGAGAAGTACCCGGATTTGACCCATACTCTGTTTGACTCGGAGGATTTCGGAGGCTCTGTTATTGATATGGTGAAGAATTCGAAGGAGGTGGCAGGGGAAGAATTCAAACTGGAGGACGAAATTGACCATGTGGCGGATTTGTTCATCAAGAGGTTCCGCAAGGAGATGATGTTGCAGAAGCAACAGTCAATCAAGAGGCAGCAGGAGGAGATGTTGAAGAATAACGTTGGATGAGTTCTAGAGTCACCCAGATATAAATCATCGTTATTGGGTTAAGCTCCTGTTGGTGTTTGTGATAGAACTCAGATTACAGAATAAGGAAGACCCACAAGCAGGGGTTATAATGCGAAGAGTTCTGATGCTGATACCGTAGAAGACGAGAAGAATTGAGAAGTCTCGTGGGCGTGTTCTTTCTTTCTTTTATACGAATGAACAGTTAACAGTTGGAGATATACTGGGAGTGCCATAGCAGCTGGGGATGGTGTGATTATAGTGGTTTGGCTCTGTAAATCCATTACCATGAAAGTCGTGTATAGAGCGCTAAAACCAAATCCTAAGTAAGATGTACATTTCTCATATCATATGGATTTTGGGAATTTGTAATAACCGTACCAAACACAAGCATGAAACTTGGCTGTGAATTGAGGAAGAAAAGGAAAATCCATCTGCGGAAGGGGCCAAAGAAAAAATTAGAAGCAAACATAATCATTTGATAAGGAGTAACGGCTCCCTCCACTGAAGTTCCTTTTTTCTTAAAAAGAAGAAGAAAAATAATAATTTAGTTTATTTATTTATTATTCATTTTAATTTTAACTAGACGCGGATCTAAGGATCTTGATGCGCCTGGAGAATGATAAAATTTTTAAATATGTCTTTTTTTTCTTTTTTTTTCTGGGTATGATAAATGTGTTGGGGCTGATTCCTAAATAAAATTCATACTGCTTTTGCACCGGTAATAAAATAAATATGATCTCGACAACGATTTTGCGGGGAATCCAATAATAGAACACAGATACGACTTACGAGCCGTTTCTGTGTTGTGTCCCTCCCTTTTCTTTTGGGATTAGTCCGAAGCTGCTTCGTCTCCAGGTAATTTTCTCTCCATTTTCATTTCATATCCTCCTAGGCCTGTGAAATAGATTAACGATCGAGTTCAGTCATATTTGTTTTTATTTTCTTATTCTACACAATTGAATTTTATAAGGAACTAATTTATTATAATATTGTCTCTTTTTAAGGAGATGTATGAAGAGTTTCAAACAAAAATTGTACACATGTGATATTATAACAAACTTTTAACTAATATACGTAAGATGCTTGAATCAGACTCATTTTATATAGACCGTTTGAGTGCATCACCCTCTTTTTTCTCCATTTTACGCGTCTGTCTATCTCTCTCATCAAGACCGTCGTACCAAACATACCAGATCATTATACTGAATTTTATATAATTTAAATGCATGTAAATTGCGGGGTAAATAAAATGAAACGTTTTGCAAAGCTAGGGAAAAGGCAGATATAATTGAAACCGGAAAGTGTGGCTGTTTAAAGTGATTCAAGAAATTCCCGTGTTAGGTTAATTACCCTTACGTATGTTGTTACCTAAACCCCCAATAAGCGCCAAAAATTAAAAAAAAAAAAAAAATCAAAACCCACTGTTTTTCACTTTTTCTCAAAGCCGTTGCGCCAAAAATTTTGAAGCCAGTCGCGCCACGTCAACTGCGAAGCTTAACTGCATCTCGACTGTCCGTTTTTGCGCAATCCTGGCCATCCGTTGCCCTGTGCTTATTCAGCCATCGCAACCCTAGGAGGCGCCTTCTCGCGCCAAATTCTGTTCCTTGGAACGGCTCAATTCAGCTCCATCGTTAAACCTATTTGGGTTTAGGAAGACGAAAACATCGAATTGGGTAAGAGCCGGAAAGACATTAGAGAGAGACGCTTTCAGGAATTTTTTTTTTCTTTCTTTTTTCCTGCGAGCGGAGGGGGAAGAGGCGACTCAGCTAGGAAGCTTTTGTTCAGGGAGGCCTCTCTCTGACGGAAACATCCGAGGGTGGGGCCCGCTAACCGGTGAGACGTTACGCGCCCCGAGTCGAGACTCGCCAACTCCCGACAACCTGTGTCTGACTCGGAAACCCGCGAATTTCAACCAGATCCTTTCAACCGCCAACCATTGGTAGCCACGTCGCTCCAATATTTAATTCTCTCCGACTTGGGTTGGGGCGTTTCCATTTTGTTGTCCATTTCTATTCCTTATTATTACTCTCACAAAATCGGCTGGGTATTATTAGCTCCCCGGTTTAGTGCATAATGTGCCCACGCTTTATCCCACCTAAAACGCGAGTTTGAAAATATCTCTTCTTTCCCATATTCTTTCCTCCTCCGTCTAATCCTCTCACATCGCTTCCTTCTTCATTCTTGCTTCTCAATCGCAGCAGACTTGCAGGTGTTTTCTTCTTTCCTTATTCTTTTGTCTCGTGTTGTTCCTATTGCCACTGTTGTTATCGGGTTCTCTTGATTCCTGGATGTTCTTGATTTGATCGATATCAATGCTTGCTTTCTTGCTTCTCGTCTTCGTCCTCTAAAATTGGATTCCTGTGAATCGTGATATTGAATTCATGCCATTTCACTTCATTTTTCATTTTTCTTGGTGTTGGGCAGAAAGCTCCTACTTGTGCAATAATCAATTGCTTAGATCTGATTTTGTTTTTCTAATTTTTATGCTTCAAGTCAAGCAGCCATTTTTGTAAACCCACCTCTGATCACTCGAAAAGCTATTGGGTTTCGACCTTTGACTTTCTTTCCATATGAGCCTGGAATTCATTTTCTCCAAAACCGTAAAGTCAACCAGTCATATCAAATTCCGTTTAATGTCCATTGCAGCATTATTGCTGAAATGAGTCATTACAGTGCAGGGCGCACGCTATCGTCATATTAGGTCCTGACCTGTCGTGGCGTTGTTTACTTTGAATATCTGCTCAGGTCAAAAACGAAAATGATCATCTACAGTCATGAAAGGTTTGGTAACCTTAGAAGGTTGAGTTCTATTTAGTTTCACCATAAAGAATTACTGTTTCTTTTCTTTTGGGTGCTGTCTGACCTGTGTGATTTACGCTGTCACAATTGGTTCATCATCATCATGATATTGCAAAACGCTTTTCTCAAAGTACTCTTCTAGTCTTCTGGATAAATATTCTTATATATGTAATTTAATAAACAGTCTGTGCTTCTTTCGTATGTGGTGTTGTATTAAGACTTAATGTTAAAATTTCCCGTGTGGAAAAACCCACGATTGTGGAGAGTTCTAATGGGCAAAGGTCTTTCAATCGTTGCAGGCTTATTAACTCAGGATCATTGTAAAGTTGGCTTTTGCTTGAAAGTTTTTGGTTATTGCCATCCCAAGATATGATGAACGGAACTCAGTATATCGGTGAAAGTTCGAGTTCAACTTCTCTCAGTAGTCAACATGATATTGAGGATGACCGCATGATTGCTGTCATGTTATCTGAAGAGTATGCCAAATTAGATGGCGCAGTTGGTAGGCGCCTTTCCAACCTGGCACCCGTTCCTGTAAGAATTCTTACAACTCCGTTATTGCCCAGATTATCTAACAATGCCTTTTACTTGAATTTTCCACCAATTCTGGTCATACTATGGTCATGCTTAATTTAGGTTCCAGTTTTAATCTCCTCTTCGCAAATCACTCAATTGCCTGTTAGGTAAACTATGATGCTAATTATGCATATCTTAACACATAAATTCAAAGGCCAAAAAGAAAAACTATCACTAAGATTCAGCTGAGTGGGGGTAATTTAAATCTTTTAGAGGATCATGATCTGTCATGCATTCTTGATATTTTCTATTATTATCTTGCTGCTTTGGGATATGGTTCTTAATGACTTTGTTATGGTATTCTGCACTGTCCTCTCAAAGAAAAGTGAACTTTCTTTATAGTTGTCAAATAATGACTATGGAGGAGAGATTATTGACCTTTTTTAAAAGGAGGTGGAAGAGAAATTTGTCTGAAATTTTGTGCTTGACTAAAATTTCAGCATGTGCCCCGGATTAATTCCTTCATACCTGACACAAATGATGCTAGTATGGATCACCAGCGCCTTCTTCAGAGGTATGCCACTTTGCAGCTGTGTATTTCAGCTATTTCTTGACAGGGAATATTATAAAGCTTCAAAGTCTGATAAAAGATGGCTGAAATAGTAATGAGCAAGTGGTCGTCATGCATGATTAAATACATCAGTGGTCGAACAAGTAGTGCGTTTTCTTCTTTATATCGAGAGATTTAGAAACTATATGTATATAAAGTGGGCATTCAAATGAAAATTGCTCAATCTAATGATGTATTGACACAAATAATGAGGGATCAGCTAGTACAATGTTATAAACCCATTCCTGCTGTATATTTACTCTTGATTGGAGGTACTAAACCCGTCTCTCTTGACTTTTATAGGTTGAACATGTATGGTCTATGTGAAGTCAAAGTTTCTGGAGATGGAAATTGTCAGGTATTATTTGTGGCAACAATTTTCTAAAATTATCTGCTTAGAACATTTATTAACTGTTCTCCCAATCTTGCAGTTTCGTGCACTTTCAGAACAGCTGTATAGGTCACCTGAATACCACAAGAATGTTCGGAAAGAGATTGTGAAACAGGTATGTCCACTCAGAAAGCACTAGCCAAATACATGTTACTGGCTATGAGGACATCTGGTTTTCTTGGGTTACGATTTTTTTAAACTAAATTAACGGTTGAAATTTATCTATACATGAGTGAGTTTTAATTGGTGATTGCATCCTCCAGATAGGGGGCATAATTCGAGTTTGATTCTTTTAAGTGTCCAAGATACGTTTAATATGTTTGTAAAGGATGCTTGTCTTAACTGAACATAGAAGGGAGGCAAATAAAAGAGATAACATACATTGATAAACCCAAGACACGTTTAATATGCATGTGAAGGATGCTTATCTTAACTGAACATATAAGAGAGGGAAATAAAAGAGATAACATACATTGATAAACCAAATACAAATTGTTTATATGTTGTGATCATACAAATTGTCTCTTGCCTTAGGTAGATAAGCATGGAATTTGATAGTTCTGTTAAAATGATACCTAGACAATTTGAAATGCTTATTTGCCCAAAATTTCTCTTTGCCAGCTCAAAGACCATCGCTCCTTGTATGAATGCTATGTCCCCATGAAGTACAAACGATATTACAAGAAAATGGCAAAGTATGTGTCTTTCAGACAAATTTTTATTGATACCATTATATATTCATTGAGCCATTGCCTTTATCGGTTCTTCAAATTTTTTTTTTCCTTGCGTTTGCTGATGTGAAACTTACACCATTCTCCATTTATCTTTCTCATGACAGATCTGGAGAATGGGGGGACCATGTTACCTTACAGGCAGCTGCTGATAAGGTGTGTTACGCTGTTTTCAAATAAGCTCTTTCCTTCTGTGGGATTCGGTAAATTGATTAGTGTTTGTTTCTTTCTTTTTCATTTTATCCATACACTGCTGTTTTAACTGAGATGAAAGTTCAATTCTTCTATGGAATGCGGCAAAATCAGTTAATACTTTGTTCCGAGTTGTTTATTACTGATAGGTTAATGTTTTTATAATAATCATAATGGGAATGATGATTATTACCGATCAGCTGGGAGATGGTGATGACTCACACATGCGTAGTGAATGTAACTATTGTTTTCGCATTGTATCTTATCATTTGCTGTCACTGGTAGTGACTAGGTAGAATGATAAATTTACCCTTTACATATGCTTGGACATGTGCTTGTATGCTTTTTGCAAAAATATATATTTATATATAGGGTACGTTTACTTTATCATTCACTGCCCCTAATAATAACTAAAGAGTATAATGAATTTGCATTTTACATCATTAAATCGTGATCTGCGTTATGTTCAAAATTCCCCTTTTCCTTTTCTATTTGCGTTTGTATTATCCTCTTCTCTTTAGGGTGGAGTCATCTATAACTTGATATGCTATATTATACTAGATCATTTGTGTTGTGATCCAAGTTCCGCATCTGGAAATTGGTGGAGAGCATATACATATGCGCTATAAAGCAATTGAATTTCAGCTATTTTTCTTCCTTGATTTGCTGTGTATTACCGTTAGCTGTTAGAATGTAATATAACCTGGCTTGTTTGTAATTTAGTTTGCAGCGAAGATATGCCTTTTAACATCATTCAGAGACACTTGTTTCATTGAAATTACGCCACAGTACCAAGCGCCAAAGCGTGGTAAGACTATTATTACTCATCACCATGGTCAAAACACTTGTTCAGTTAAACATGAATCGATGCAAAAGGATATTTTGTTAGCAATTCAGATTATGAAAAAATGCGTTGATGAGAGCATTCTTTTCATATTTTAATGATGCAGAGTTGTGGTTGAGCTTCTGGTCTGAGGTTCATTACAATTCGCTATACGAAATTCGAGGTTGGTTCGCCGTAAATTCCCAAAAGTGGCTTTTTTGGTCGGAATACTGAACACGACTTTATGAATTGACTATTTGTTTTATCATCTTCAATGTAGATGCACCGATCCAGCATAAACCAAGGAGAAAGCATTGGCTATTCTAGGAGCGTTCGGTTCGTCACATTGATAAAACCATTTTGGACATGTGTAGGAGTAAAAAAATTATTTTGGTCCTTGAAAGATAAAAGCTTTTTTTCAGCTCATCCCCTGAATTTTTGGATTCATCAATTGAATTGTTGATGATCTCAATATTTACTGCAATTTTATTCTACAGTGCTGGGTTCAAAGCATACCGTGATTCGATTGAGAAATGGCATACTATCTTTCAAGGATCAGAAGATAATTTACTCAATTGGGATGAGTTCTGTGTATATTTCTGTTCTATATATTGGATGAGAGAGTTGGTGGAGAAGGAGAAGTGGAGGGAAGAGAGGGAGAGATCAGAGATTATGGGTCTTCTCTTTCCTCTTTTTTTTTTTCTTCCCAATTTTCATTCATTTATTTATTTTTTTAGTTATATAGTATTTGAATTTTTTTTCTCCTGTTGTAGACAGTACAGTATGAACATTGGCGATTGCTCAGTGAAAGTAAATACGGTTACAGTTATGCTTTTTGGTTGCAAGTAAATGTCGTTCATGCTCGGAATCTTTTTAAATAAAGAATATTATTCTTTTGAAAACATTGATTGTTAACATAAATTATAAATATCGTCGCACAGTTTTCATTTAATACGATGTAAATAATGGTATGTTAAACTAAATAGAATTTATGAGCAAATGAGACATCTCCACATAGTCCGCCGCTAGGCACCATTGGGCATTGCTAATTTTTTAAGCGGGAGAATTGTATTCAAAGATGAAATTCATAAATTAATTATTAAGGTATTTTATGCTCTTCCGGTCCTAAATATAAGGTTATTATACATACTAGTATAAGGATCTTACATTTAGGACTGGAGGAATATTTTATCACTATTTGTATTTACTATTCATATATCAGTCAAACTATGAATATTTACTATTCAAACACCTCCATTCTAAATGAAACAATAAGTATTTATTATTAATGATCTTTTGAAATAAACAATTTGTAAATTTCACAATAAAAAAGAAAATCTGCTCATTCTCTTTCCCTCTCCCTGTCCACAGTCCAAATTCCTTGTTACCAAACAGGCTCTGAAGTTATTCAAATGGAACTCGGGGGATGAAAACGAATCATGGTCGGGGCAAACAAGAATGAAGGAAGTTTTGAGATGAAATTTTTTATTAAAAAAAAATCATTTTAAATGTAGGATGAGTTGAGTCGACAATGACGTGTTGACTTTATCTTTCACCCACTCGGGATTTCTTTTCTTTTTCCAATAAAAATCACCTCATTTTCTATCTTCAATTTAGCACATAATCTACCATATGAAAATGTCTGGTTCAATTACTCTTCTTTTGAAGAATTTGAATTTCTGAGAAACATAAGAAATTTTTAGAGTAAATCAAGTAAGTATAAGAAATCTCATTAGCAGTAAACACGCATGATGATGTAGTGTTATCTTGCAGATGTGGTGGCGCGCTGGAACTGGAAACTGAGAGAACATTAAATGTTGAACTGGACATCATGTAACATACCAAACTCAATAATTGTGAAATTACACTATATATATATATATATATATATATATATATATATATCATTCAGCAAACTAGTTAAAGCTGTGCTGTGCATGCTCTGTTGAATGTTAATCAAGGCCAGCTAATCCCCACTTCATATTCAGTCTTCCAGTCCCCCCATCCATATTGTCATATTATCTGTTTCTTAATTGCTTTTGACGTAACATAAAGTTATCTTCTTCCTAAATTTATAATCCATCTTATTAAAGCTTCCCCAATAACAGTCCACTTCTCCCTATCTACTGCCACTTTCTTTGTGTTTATTCCATGTGTATATACTATTTTTCTGTCATTAAGACCTAGTTAATTAATTTGAGCAGATTAAAAAAATTAATTAAGTTAGCTATTTGTTATAAATAGGTATTGTCCTTTCTAAAATACTCTTGCTAATCTTGCATATTAGCTAAAATTACTATTTAATAAAACATTTAACACGTACAACTACTATAAAAACTATTTTGAATAAATAAATAAATATGAAAGACAAAGTAAATTGGGGTCTTATATTTATTATCAAATTAAAAATCAAACAAGTTCTTATAACAAGACACGAAGGTAGCGTTAGGCTCAGCTTGAAGTCAACTCAATTTGATCTGTATCAATTATTGGACTTGCGAGTGAATGGTGGAGTTTCTGGTAGGGTGTATCGTCAGAAATTAAGAGGAGGGCATTCATCTGACCTAAGTGATCTTCAGCTGCAATACATCGCATGTTATGTTTGTCTCCACTTCTCAGCTTTTTCCTCCAGCCCCAAAACGTGCATTTTTCAAAATTGGATGCTCATATATAAAAGACAGCTAGAGAAGATTTTGATTGGACTTACGTACAGATTACATTGCTAAGTTTTATGACTGAATACAATCTCCCAAAGGTGGTGGGCATTTATTTGATTCTTGGTCCGAACCAATCAAGAGGCCATTCTCAAAGGGTTGTATTTCTAGCTGTACAAACCAGCCAATAATGCTAAAATTATCAGTCCCTCCCCAATAATCCTATCCATTTATTTCTAAAACGCTGCTTATCTTAATATCAAATCACACGACCTTCCCTTGTTCCTCAAACTCACTCGCCTCACATGCCGTGTTTCTGTCTTTCCTCACACAATAATCCCAGTTCTCAATTCATTCATCAACTATATATCACCAGTGATCAGATTTGCTTGGAGTAATTAGATGTTTTATATATGGTGTTGTTGTAGTAATGATTCGAGAAATCAAGAACAGATGATTCGGGCATGCAAAAAAAAAAAACCCCAAGAATATTAAGGATACGTGTAAGCTATTTGATTATGAGGAAAGAATAATTATGCATGTGGCATGATTATATATACGATAATGGGTTAATTAGAGTGGGAGATTAAAGCACGGAATGGGATTAATTATTGGGTATGGAAGATGCCAAGCTGGGAAATTGGCATTCGAATCTTGAAATTGGTGGTTGGTTCGTCAACCTAACGGACCAAAAACCTCCCATGGGATGCTGTGCCTGTAACCATAGACACTTTGGTCCCATCTTTATCATCATTAGATGCATTTAAATTCACTTTATAATTATTTTTTTTACTTTTAATAAGTTTTTTTGTCAATTAAGTTAAATTATGATACAGGAACTCACACTCAGTAAAAGCATGATTATCTGAAAACTTACGTACTTGCTATGTTATTATTACGTTACGTTTTAATTGAAAATATTGACCATGAACTCCCCCCCCCCTCAAAACCCCAAAAAAAAAAAAAAAAAAGAATTACCTGTCATGTTCTCACTTCTGGAAACGATAACATGTAGGTTCACTTGCTGCCTTTTAAAGCGAATCAAAACAGAGAATTAGGAAGTGGTAGATTGATTTTTTTTTCTCTTTTTCAGGATGCTTGATGTGATATGCTTAGCAAACACGTAATTCTCAGTACGTTAATTTTTTTTTTTTTGGGTGAAAGAAAAGGGATTTCTCAGCACGTTATTGTACATAATGACTGGCATGTTCATTTGCTGAGAGATCAATGTGAGTGTTTTACTGTAAATTAATTTTTATATTTAGGATTCCGATCCTTAATATAAAAATTTATTTGACTTTTATTTTGATTTTAAATATAAGACTCTAATTCATTTTGTCTCTCATATTTATTTATTTTTTTCAAAATAGTTCTTATAATAATAGTAGTTCCAGTCAATATACTTGATTAGCAAAAATATTTGAAAAAACACAACACATATCTATTACAAATAACTAATTTAACTAGTTTTCTTAATCTATTCAAATTAGTCAACTGGTTCCTACATTAAGAACTGGAAGTAGTAGTTTATAAATTGTAGAATAAAAGTATTGATGCAAGTTGGACATGCTTTTTACCATATACGGATTATTTATGAGTTACGAATTATGTGATCACTGCTCATTTTTAATATGTGTACTGACATTGATCTTATTCATCTTCGTCGTTGGAGATTTTTCTGGTCAAAAGTAATTTTGTAACAATGTAAATATTATGAAAAATATTTTGCTAGGCTTGAAATAACAGTGCCTGGAGTCCTCTTTCAAGATGCTCACCATTAAAGAAAGGTATGATGGTAACACGTTTTCACTCAAGGCGCATAATTAAGACACTGGAGTGAATCGGAAAACAAAATTAACGTATTAAACACATCATAATTGAACGTTTTGGAGAAACTCTTAGTTTTAATGATGTACTAAATACTAAACAGAAAACCATTATTATGATAACAACAGTAATTAATGAAAGCCCGCAGGACAAAGAAAATGATTACCGTTTCATAGACACTTCAAAGCTGTAATGATGTAAACAGAAAGCCTTCCGTTTTTCACTTTTCCTTTTTCGTTTGTATGCCTCACAACTCACAGTTCATTGAATAGTCTAGGACAAGACATGAGTGAATTTCTATATTTAAAGGGAAGAGAAATAGAGAATGATATATATATATATATATATATATAGATAAAGTAAACATATGCTAAAAGATTTGTTTAGTCTCCTTTTACAGGTGTTTTACATGTCTGTAGATCAGGTAATAATAATGGACAATGGGAATGGGATAAGCAATCAAAAGGAAACCGCGTGGTGGCTTCTCAAATGCAGATTCTAAGTCGCTTCTTCCACCAAAAATTTCAAAGGATTTTGAACAAAAGTGAGTGAGAGAGAATGAAGGGCCCAACTGGGAATGCCATGGTTCTGCCTTTGCTTCCTGCCTCTATATATACCCTCTAGTCTTCTTCACCATTCATTCATTCCTTACTTCTCAATGGCTTCTGCTCTCTGGACTCTCTCTCTCATTTTGGCTTCGCTCTCCTCCGCCGCCCTCGGCGGTGTCCCTAGGAGGCCCGTTGACGTCCCCTTTGGCCGCAACTACAACCCTACCTGGGCTTTTGATCACATCAAGTACCTCAATGGAGGTTCCGAGGTTCAACTTTATCTCGATAAGTACACTGGTACTTTCCTCCTCACCTTCCCATCTTCATTCGTTTATTTTTCTTTCTTTCTGCAACGAACCTGTTCATCGCTGAGCTACCATTTTGAGCAGGCACTGGCTTCCAGTCCAAAGGATCCTACTTGTTTGGACACTTCAGCATGTTTATCAAGATGGTTCCTGGGGATTCTGCGGGCACTGTCACTGCTTTCTATGTAAGAAGCTGTTCAAGTTTCAATTTTCCCCCCTATACTCCCTAGTTCATGTGCTGTGTTTTCTTCGTTCGCAACATGTTTGCGTGACTTTTTCTTGTGAATGGAAATGTGCAGCTGTCTTCCCAAAACTCCGAGCACGATGAAATAGACTTTGAGTTCTTGGGTAACAGAACAGGCCAGCCGTACATTTTGCAAACGAACGTGTTCACCGGCGGCCAGGGTAACAGAGAACAGAGAATCTACCTCTGGTTTGATCCCTCCAAAGAATACCACAGATACTCTGTTCTCTGGAACATGTATCAGATAGTGTGAGTACTTCACATACCCTTCC